CATCCCACAGCTCAGCCAGGTAATTTTGGAAATGCTTAAATGAAGAAAACATATTGGTAATTAAAATTTCCAGTGGCCTGGCGTATCACTGATTGCTACAGAATTAATGAAAAATATCCCAACTCCTTGCACGTAAAAGCAATGACGTTCCCGGGAGAGCAGGGCCCTGTCCCCGAGTTCAGGCCGTGGCGGTGGCAGGATGTGAGCCACCCCAAGACTGGACGCGTTCCGAGGCACACCGCGCACACATTTCTGCTCGGTGTCACACGAACGGAGCGGGGACTCCTCCGGTACCCCTGTCCGGCCACGGCCGCGCCGCTCGGAGCCCGCGGGGATCCCGGAGCGCTCCACGGACGCGGCAAAGCGCGCACCGCGCCCGGCAGCGCCGCTCGGGGCCCGGGCATTAAGGCCGGATCGGCTCAGGAGCCGTGCGGGGCTGCGGCGCCGCCGGCCGCGGGCGGCCCCGGGCTGGGAACAGCCCCGCTCCTCTGGGACGGCCCCGGGCCGGGCACTGCCCCGCTCCCCGCGGGCTGCGGCGGGAGGCGGGCGCGGGGCTCCTCCGAAACGAAACGCCCCAGGCGCCCCCCACGCCCTCCCCGCGGGGGCTGCGCGGAGGCGCCGGCACCTCCCCACTGCTCCCGACGGCGCTGGAGCCGCTGGGAAGGGCGGCAGGGGCCCGACCTCCACCCACCCACCCACCCTGCCCTGCCCGGCCCGGCCCCGGGCTCGCCCCTCACCTGCCTCCCGCCGCCCAGCGCCGCTCCCGGCGGAAGGAGCCGCCGCGCCCCGGCACGGCGGCCCCGCGGAGCCGCGGCCGGCGGGGAGCGCCGCGCCCACACCGGCTCCGAGCGCCGCCGCCATTGGCGCGGGCCGGGCGCGTCACGGCCGGGGCGGCGGGGCCGGGACCGCGGGGCTCCGCCGGGGCCCGGCTTGGGGAGCGCCGGGGCGGCTGCTGCGGGAGCTCAGGGAGGGCGACAGAGCCGAGCAAGGGACTGGAGCGGATCATGTGAGGGAAGGCTGAGGGAGCTGGGCCTGTTTGGCCTCGAGAAGAGACGACTGAGAGGGAACCTCACCCATGTGCAGAAATATCGAAAGAGCTGACAGGAGGAGGCTCTGCTTGGTGGTGCCGGGCAATAGAACGAGAACCAGCGGGCAGAAACCGATACAGGACGTTCCACCTGAACATGAAGAAGAGCAGCTTTCCCGTTCAATGACCAAGCACTGTCACTGTTTGCCCAGAGAGATGTGGAGTTTCCTGCACTGAAGTCCACTCAAGGACTTGTCTGGATGCCGTCCTGTGCCATGCACTCTAGAACAACCCTGCTTCAGCCAGAAGGTAGAACCATGAGCCACTGTGGTCCCTTCCAGCCTGACCCATTCCGTGATGCTGTGACCCTGAGGAAGGGCTCATGCAGGCAGAGCCTGTCCATCTGTCCGGCTGCTCCGAGTGAGCCGTGGCTGCAGCCGGAGTGAGGGAATCCAGCCTTTGCCTGGAGTTGCCCTTTGCCACCAGTAAATTCCCTGCCCGAGGTGTAAGGAAGGATTGAAGGCCTTTCCTGTCATGATCTAAGGCAGTGCAGCAGGAGCACAGTAACAATCCTCCCTCTCTGGGCATCACCAAAGGTGCTGCTTAACATTTATTGCAGGATATCACCCACTTGCCCTGCTACAAACAATAACCTCCCTTTCAAACTGCTTGTTTGTACATCCCAGCTTTTGCCATCAGATGCCATTTCATTTTGAAGTGAGGCAGAACATCTAACAAGATAGGCAAGGACTTTTCAGGCCTGTCCATCCAAATATCTGAACCAAAAGTATCCCAGACCTTCATATGTCTTGCAGGCCAGTACAGGAGCTGAAAAAGCATTGCAGACCTCTCTCAAAGGGAACTGGCTGATCTCTCGTGAGTCTTGCCTGAGGAGTTTCTACTTGCTGGTTAAGGAGAATATGTCTGCCTTGCTCTAGTCCTGTGGGCTGTGGGTTCAGATGGTTTTGGTGTGCAGAGAGTTGTGGTTTGGAGCATTGATGCATCCATGAAATTCTCTAGAATGATTCCCATGTGAAGCAAAGCTATCCGGTCTGGGTTGTTTCCTGCTGAGCTCCCAAGACATTTGACTCACTGCAGTGGTTTGGTCCCTTGCACAAACTGGGGCCTACCTCAACGCAAAATTTTTGCTCTCTAGTAGTGTTTTGATGATTTGATCATTGTAGCAAAACATATTTATCAGACTAAATACAGTTTAGATCTTAGAAAATTTGCTTTGCAAGATTTTCAGTGGATGTGACTGATACAATTGATGTGTACTCAAACCTGTGGCCACTATTAGAAGAAATAAGATTTTAGTTGTTTTCCATGGGAACTAGATGGCAGAAGAATTTATGGAGCATTTCCTGGGTGCTGGAAATGCTTCCACATTAGGAACGTGAGTTTCAGAAAGCAGATGAATCTGGTGAAAATGTTGTTGAATTCATTCCTGTAGTTTGCAGTACAGGAGGCAGCAGCATCCTTTGCTTTCCTCTTCCTTCCTGTAGTGTTTGTTTCTTAACTTTAGTGTTTCTTTGAACCATCAGAGTTTTCTCCATCCCGGAGCTCTTCTCCCGTTCACGCTCACGTGCGGCTCTTCGCAGTGGCGATGTGAGTTTGCAGAAGTCACTGCGATAACCAACCCCATCCTCCCCGTCCCCA